GCTCTCTGAGCTTGGTTGTTTGCTTGCAGACATTTCATTACCCAACTAGATAACATCATCAATGCGAGTGACCGTGGGCTTTTCTCCCTGTTTATATATGGTAGCTTGCCCAGCCAGTGTTGGAGGGGATGTGGTTTTCTCGTTGGAAGTTCCCTGATTAGGGTATTGTTTTCTGCTTCATTGTTTGTCTAGTTATCCCTGCTTATCTGGGTGTAGGCTGCCAGAGAGGATGTGTTCTGTTCTTTTTGTTTCCATGAACACCAACTAGCAATCAGAAGACACAATGAAAACTCCTTAATCTCACAAGACATGGACAGACTCAACCATAGTTTTAACTAGGAAACTGTCAGCATTCTAGGCCAACCTAAATCTAAAAATGCTAGGAAATTCCTGGAAGCTTGGCATTCAGACAAATCAGCCATCAACAGACACATAGAGATAAATCACATTTACACACCATTTAAAAGAGACAATAAAAAAGCTAAGAAGGAAACAAAAAGACCAGAACACATCCTCTCCAGCATCTTACATCCAGATAAACAGGGATTAACACCAGACTAACAATCAAACAGAAACCTAATCAAGGAGCTACCAAGGAGAAAACCACACCCCACCATCACTGGCAGGACAAGCTACAGTATATAAACAGGAAGCAAACTCCACACTCACTAGCACTGATGATGTTACCTAGTCAAGTAATGAAATGTCTGCAAGCAAACAACCAAGCTCAGAGAGCACCAAGGACTCCACATAATCAACAGCGCCAGGGAGAAAACCACACCCCACCATCACTGGCAGGACAAGCTACAGTATATAAACAGGAAGCAAACTCCACACTCACTAGCACTGATGATGTTACCTAGTCAAGTAATGAAATGTCTGCAAGCAAACAACCAAGCTCAGAGAGCACCAAGGACTCCACATAATCAACAGCGCCAGGGATAACACAATCAAGGGACAGGATTTGCCCAGCTTCTGCTAGGTATCTAAGTTGCTGCTGGCATACTTCTTTCTCTCTGGTTCCCGACTCTCTCCTCCATTTCTTTTTGTTTCAGGAAAGTCGAGAAATTCACCAGCCAGCTCCATAAGATTGTGTGTGTGAGAGAAATAAATATCTTTACTAATAAGTTTATTTTTGAAAGAAAATGGTTTCAAATGGGTCAAGGCTGTTTTGGCTTTCCAGGCCTTTGATCTATAGCTGATCTGAGGGAGGCTGCCTGGTAAAGTAGGAAAATCCTGCTTTATCATGTAGTCCCTTTTCACCCAGTGGATCAGCTGTTTTGACAGACAATTGAAACAATGGGTCTAGCCTTTTGAAGGACTTCATGTCTCCTCATGAATTTGAGGAGAGTGACTGTTGGTTGGGTTTCCTGCCAGCAGGTGATATTCTGTGGGAGAGGAAACAAATCTGGAGAATCCACCCTTCATTTTCCTTACTTTGTTCTCCATTAAACCTCATGGCAGCAGCATTCACTGGGCCTGTCAATGAGGCAGAATAGAGCTTGGCTGTCAGGGCACTGCAATTTATGCAGCCTGCTTTTCTTCCAAGAGATTAGAGAAAAGCACATTCATACAGCCATGAGGAAGAGCTCTCAGTCTTATTCTTGTTAAAAGAGACTTTTCTTCTCCCTCGCTTTGGCTTTGAGACAGTGGCACTGCTGAAGAGAAGCACTCTTGATGGTTGAATAATTTCTCACTTTAAAAACAAAAAAGCACATGGAGGGAGGTCAAGAGAAGGGAAGGAAGAGGGTCTTTGAGGGTTGGACCATTTGTCTGCTTTTCCTTTTCCCTGTTGCCTGCATTTCCTTACTATTATTAGTAATGCCACCTTTCTGCTGCTAGCCAGTCTGTTGAGGCTGCATTGAATTGCTACTTTAAAAAGCCTATTTTTGCACCAGAGGCCCACAGAAGCAGAATATTACAGCAATAATCCCTCAATATGCAATTCATTTTAAAACAATAAATGTAATATTTGGCAATTTATTGTCTTTTGGGATCAACCGAACATTTGCTATTAGTGTTAGCCATCTCCATGTTATGCATGTGATGAAGATGGCATTTACCTACAACTAACCATGCCATAATAAATCAGTTAGCCTGTGAGCTCTTATTTGACTAAGCTATAATGCAATTTTCTCTGACTCTCTCAAAAACAAAGAGCATTTAGTCACACCCCAGCAAATGTCAAGCATTCCTGGAATCCTGAAACTGTGGAGAAATTATCAGTGGGGCTGCAGTGACTCCCTATCAAGACCCCATCAGCAAGAGGTCCTAGTCATAAGTAGTTGCGATTACTATGCAAAGTCCCAGGAAATACCCAGATTGCCATTTGTTGATAGTGACTATGTTCAAGCTTTAAATGTTATCTGGATTTGATGAAAATATAATTTAAAAATGTAAGGACCTGAATTATGATCAAACTTATTTGAAGTAAAATAGTAACTAATAAGATATAGAACATCTGCAAAATAAACAGAATAGAAATGAGGGAATGAACTCAAATGGCCATCAAGAAAAAATGTATTACATTGCTTGCTATATTTTGATAAAGTTTTTATTGTGCTTAATTTTAACTGGATATATAACCGGTCTAAATCCATTGCAGGATGAAGGAGACTTTATGAGAGGTTATGGCATGTAATCTACCATGCTGGAGACTGGTTTTTGTACTTCCCAGTCTAGGACTGAGAAAGGGTGGCTGGCCCAAAATCACCCCACCCACTTACCCCTGCCCTGGCTTCTTTGGCTAACGGAGGTGTTACCTGGGTCTCTGTGTTTCTAGCCCACAACCCTCACCACTGCACCACATTGGCAGATATAGATATGAATGATTGATTCTTGGAATAGGAAGAGATTGATCCCCTTCATTCTAGTACTGACAGTAATACACTTCAGCATTCAGGAAAGACAGCATCAGGTCTGTCCCTTGGAGGAACCTGCATCTAAGGTTTTCCTGTGACAGTCTCTTAATGACTCTTAAGATAGATGCTAGAACATTTTACAGTCCTGCAATGGAATCAATGACAGAAACCACAAGCTGATTGCCATCCAGTGAACAAGATTCTGTATAAAAGCCCAACTTAATGAAACTCCTTACAAAAATGACAATTCTTGGGAACTAATGGACTTTCAAAAGAAAGTATAGGGTTCCTTGAGAACTGAACTATTTACTCAGAGCAAGATCTTGATGGCACTTGGAAACCAGACTAAAGTCATTAGTTGAGGCTCTACAGCTGCTGGACCAACACATGCTTTTCAGATCCCAGTGTTTTGCAGTCTAGCTTATGTAACTCAATTTTACTTGTTAAGTGGTCTCCTATGCTATACATGTTTTGTTTGGATCCTGCTGGTTTTTGGACTGCTGCATTGTACTTTAACCTGATTTTTACTCAAAACCATGTCTTTTATATGATGCCATTGGTATTTAAGGAGCCAACTCTTGCAAGAGGACCATCTATTCAAATTTGACGCTATTCATATTAGAAAAAAATGAGTAAGGAAAGACCTGTACAGATTTCAATATTTATGTCTGGTATGGGAAATTAGATAAAGGGAAGACTTTCTCTTCTCATAATATTAGACATTTAGAAATTCTCCATTGACTATATTTGTTTTTATGCAAGAAACTTTTCTTACCTGTTTTGAAAGGCAAATGTTGAGATACTTTAAAATCCTTTGGCACTGCTCGGGTAGAAGCACTTGCTTTCAGACCTAATTGAAAAGAAATAATGAATTATTATTTGATGTTAATTATTTAATTGAAACTAAAATATTATGATTAATTCCCATTAGCAGTATTTTGCATCATTTTAAGAAATAGTGTTTGATAAAGAGAGTAATTTTACAAAGAAATTATTCTGCAAAGTTCATGCATGAAGCTTAAACACCAGACTTAAAGTATCATATATGTAAAATATCCAACAAATGCAACTGAATTTAGGTTCCATGAACAGAGCTCTGCTAAGGATTGAGTGTTCTCACCAATCAATTCCCTAACAATCTGTTGCCTAGGTTGAGAAAGTTTCCAGAACAGAATGAGCAGCGATAGGATGATCAATTGGCAAAAAAACAACAACACAAAAAACAAAAACAAAACCCTGATGTCTTCTGTGGATTGAAGCTTCTATTAGATCCCAATTCCTTTTGCAGCAGAAAAGATTCCTTTCACAGTGGAAACTATATCTATCCATCAATGACACAATGGAAAATAAACCCTCCAATATTCAAAGGACATTAAAATAAGTTAAATTATGTAGATGCATAATTTGTTCTAACAGGAGTGGAAAGCTCACTGCAATAAAGAGAAATTGTACAGCAGCAGTGACAGCAGTGAATTTGGAACTGATAAAATGTAATATTTTATATTTTTGGTGCAAGAAGAAACAGAACTAATACTGAGACTTTTTGAACCCTATCATAACTTATTTAGCACAATTGTAACTCAAATTTCTTTCAAATTAGCCCTCTGTATGTGTTTGAGTAGACCATAAATAAAACAAGCAAACAAAAAAATCAGTAGGCATTACAGATTTTGTTAAAAATTCAACTATTTTATTAATTAGATTGACAATACAGACTGAACAGAGCACATAGTGCTGAGTGACACCTAAACGAATTGTATGACCGCATCAAGATATTTTTAGCTTCTAGGTTCATAGTTAGCATCCCAATACTCAGTTCTATAGTTCAACAGTGTAGGATAATCTGTAAGCAGATAGTGACCTACAGTGAGTAGGTAGATAGTGACATATATATATATATATATATATATATATACACACACACACACACACACACA